AGTCAAATATCAAAATTAGATGTTGTGATTAAATACAATGTTTCTTTTAATCGAAATAATAGAATTGCAATATATATTTCATCAAACGAATCTGACTATTGAAGGTTTTCTTTCTATTTATGACAGAATAGTAGATAAAAGGATTGTGATACGAGACATAATTTCGTTCTTTTTAATTATCAGTATACAGTTTTGTTTCCTTTTTTTTCTAATATTCTTTTGTTTCATAGATAAATGTATGATGTAAGAATACAATTTTTTATGCATAATATTCGCGGTACTTTATTTGAATACATCATTAGTTCCGAGTTTTTTCTTATTATCTACAAAAGAGCCGATTTCGTAATTCGAAGAATTTCGAGTCGTAACCGACCGACAGGCGAGATTAGGCTCGTTCGAGCGCGGATGGTTAGAGGATAGGAAACGAGGCTGAAGCTTCTATCCCGTATTACGTGCCGGTGAGGCGTCAGGCCTGATTAAGGATCCTGCGGGGGATTTGCCTGCACACGGCGTCAGCTCGTTTCTACTCCCTCAGCGAGGCGACGACTCGTAGTCGACCTTTGCGAGATTCTGCGACGGAAATTCCCGGGAACGAGCGCGCCTTCCCCGTGACGGTCCTTCGTTTTCCCGCGCAAGACACCGTCTGTGTACTCACAGAATTACGTAAACGTGTCAAGAATTTCGCGGCTATACGAAACTGCATCGATGTCGCATCGAGCAACCGATATTGATCCACATCGAATTGGCTTTTCTCCTTAACCTGACTTTATTCTTTATCTTTTTAAGTTCCTTTTCTTTTCGATGGTTTTGCGACAAAATTTCTAAATTTTTTTAAAAGAATTTGAAACTTAAGCACTTTCTGTGCTAGATGCCTTATCTTTTAAGATATATTTTTCCTTTCTTATTATAGAAAGGTCTATTGTAGGAAAAATCATTCAGCATTTATATGTACAGTAAACAATATATTGTAGTATGAAAAAAAAATCTTAATCAATATAGGTCGAAAACTCAATTGTTTCCAAGACATAAACAATTTTGTATAATTGATTTATTACTTTTTTACGTACATACACGACGTAAAAAGAGAAATTGAGATAAGTGACACTGATAGCTTATTTGAAAGAATTACAGATCTAATGATGTAATCTCCCATAATGTTCATTCAACTATAATGGCTAATTGATGTCAACATACCGATTCTCGGAAATTTTTTATTAGAAAGTGTGTACATGGAAATTGAATCAGAACATTCAGAACACGGTTTGTAAACACTGAGGTAAATCTTCATGTCGTATACACGTAGAAGCCAATAAGTCAGTTATGATACTAACGTATAAAATTGTTGTTTATGTCTTAGAAGCGGTTGAGTTTTCTCGATCCATGTTCACTGAGACTTTTTTATTCGCTACTATCTATCATATAAATCCGAAATGTTTTTTTTTATCATCTTGTACATTACATTATCTTAACACATTTCTTTTGTTAATTGCACTTAAATACGTTTCTCTTATTTTCAATAAAATTATTGTTGTTATTATTTTTTATGTCTCCGATCAAAACGTAGGAATAATAATTTTGGCTTTTAATAAATCCTAAGCAATTAAGTATCGTTTAATCTCGAAGGAGTTTCCCCAGAATTTTAATTTGAGCGTTACAAAAATATCTCAAGATTGTTACTCCTTTATACAAAATACAAAAGAAATGCGAGAACGAGAAGTATTCTCACACGTTTGGTTGCACCGTAGGATCCCCGGCTCTCGAGCTTCCTTTCTAGAATGACGAAGACGAATGCTGAGCCGCGCGCAGGATATCGGGAGCTCAGGCTCCGGCCGACCGGACCAAACCTTCCGCTCGTCTCGTCCATTTTTCTCTATCCCCGACCTTTTTTCCTTCGGCAAGTGGTAGCCGGTTAAGTGCCCGGGAGAACGATGAGCAAGTTCCTCTCTGATAACGACCGGAGAAGCGACCCGGCTCATCCGTCCTACCTCGCCGCGATCCTTTTCCAAGAATAATCTTACCTTCCATTTCTCCGTGTCGCCTTCATCCCGTCTCGATAGAGCGCGAATATAGTCCCACAGGAATTATTGGCCAGCATGACCGTAACGTACAGAGGAACTTTCGATTTTTCTTATTTTCAAGATTCAAATCTTTGTACTAGCTGTTATAATAATAAATATCTTTTCGATATACTTTAAATACAAATGTAAAGCAGTTTTTCTGCAATTCTTCAAAATTCGAAAGAAAAATAATAAAAGTATATCGCACTGAATAAGGTGTAAAAGTTTTTTCGGAGATATTTGTCCGCAAAAAATGTAACTAGAATAAAGCGTGGTAATTTGAAGGTTAACAGAAATTTTCAAATTGTATAAAAGATGGAGTATATTTAATCAAACATATCACATACACCGAAACAAATTTTGGCATTTTTGGTCCAATGAATGATTAATCAATGTCCGACTTAATGTAGTTAATGCATTGATACAATAACTGGATTTATTTATATAACTATATATTTATTCTGGCAATGAATTCTAGCAATAGTTTTACAACCTAAATCATTAGGACCATTGAGAATTCATTGGACCAATTTTTATTATTTTTTCATAATTCAATGAATATTTTATTGTATAAAATATATTATTGTATAAGAAATATTATTGTATAAGATATATTTTGTATTTGATTGAATACACTGTGTTTGACAATTTCTGTTAACTTGTCTAAATTAGCCCGCTTTATCCTAGATTTGGAAATCTAAGATTAAGGTACGCACGTAAAAATTCGGATGAAGAGTGAAGAAATATGAAGATGAAAACTTGTATTAGAACTTTCTTCCCTGAGGACATTGTCAGTCGCCTACGAGCAGGTCGATCGCTCTTCGTGGACCAGCAAATAAAAGCGGAAGAGGAAAGAATAGATTCGTAAGAAAGGACTGGACGGCGCGTAAGCGAGAGAAGAATGGTCGAATCCTTTAATCCGGAATATGAAGACCAAGACGAAGATGCGGGACGGGAATGAGGATGCAACTGGGGATGATTCGAATGGAAAGATTAAGACAGGACTATTGGTTGCAGTATTCTCGCCCGGAGAGAGGCTGTTAGTCTCGTGGAAACAAACGAAGAATCATCAAACTTGAAAAGTAGAAGGAGCGGAACTGAAGAAAAGAAAAGGAAGCGAAAAAGTAGGCGGGAAAGGATAAGATAAGAAAGCTCGGGGGGAGACGAATAATCAATACGGTCGCCAAGTCGTTAATTCCAATCGCCAACCATCACGCCTCCGTGCAGCGTTAAGCACAGGACGAGAATTTCACCCCCGACTGCCTGAAGGGCATTCTTTTTTCTCGAATCCCCCGTCGGTGTGCGGAGCTTCGATTTTTTTTTTCTTTCGGTCTTGCAACGCGCAGACCGGCGAAGGAAACGAAAGGAAAAGAAAAAAACTGGGGAGACGATCGAAAGCGGGCATCCCTTCCACGATAATTATTTTCCGACGAGGCTTGGCGTCGCCTTAACAACGATCCGGTGAACGTCGGAAAATATCGGGATCAAAAGTGCACCACGTGAACGGAGAACTAAGATGCTACTCGTTTATTATTAGAAACTCGATATCCTACTGATATTGTTTATGATACTTAACTCTCGATCGATAATGTGAAATTCTTACCCTTCGTCTGTAACTTGGGTCTTTGAATTTTAGTGCAGATATTTATATTGTTCCACTGTATACCCTGTAAAAAATAAAATGTTAATTTTAATTTGAAGACAGTGGAGTTTCTGAGTACAGTGGACTTTCTGAGACATGCAAAAATGTTAAAATTATTTAACTATATGTTTTTAAGTTAAAATTAACATTTTATTTTTTACAGTGTAAACATCTAAAAAGATTCTTACTTGTGAAACCTTTAACCCTTTGTGGATGGATGACCCCGTTTTGATTATCTTCTTTTATTTTGTAAACTGCTCACTTGATTTTCATGAAATTTGGCCTGGTAAGGTAATTTGATAATGCTGTATTCGAGTCGAGGTCAAAAATAAAAAATTCAAAATGATCGATCCAATATGGCGGACAGAATTTTAAAAAATCTGATTATCATGAAATTCGATTTTAGGTATTTTTAATTGCGAAGTAATATAATAAAGTTTCCAGTTTCGATTTATTTAAAGCTCATCATGTTACACGCACAAACAGTTGGAACTGATTTCCAATCTCTAATTATGAACTCTGTGACAGTATAAAATTCTCACTTCATTGAAGGTTACTCTTTTGAAATGTGACATTTAAACTCAGCAATACCGAGACTCTTAAAATCGAGTTTCACGATAATACTATAATCAGTTATTTTTTAGAAATTTGAATTTTAGTATTCTGAGAGACCAAAATTGAATTCAGTAACTTCGAAAACTCTTAGAAAACAAGGTCTTCATTATGTTTCTTTGTTAGAAAGCTCTTGTCTTCGAAGAATTAATAAGTTTTTATTATCAAGATTATTCCCGAGTTTTTATTATCAAAGAAGTTGCATTATATTTCATATATATTTCTTATTTTTTACAAGTTTAAATTTATATACTAGATAAATTCACAATCAAAAAATTGACTATACCTTTAAAGTCCAACATTACTCGCGGAAGAGTTAAGTTTAAAAACTTTTGTTAAAAGAAACTGCGAATCTTAACAAAAATATACGCGCATTGTTTAAAAAAATTATATTTACAATTAGTAATTTTATTTATTCTCGCGAAGAAATAAATATGCCGGTCAATATTTTTATTAAAATATATAATGAGCGAGATGTCCGACTTAATCTGCATAAATTCTGGAATCCGAACCAATTACTTAATTTTTTCCGAGCGGTACACAAACGCTCGCGGTCTTATTGCACAACTTAGTCCGAAAACACCAGGGCAACGCAGCGCGAAGCCGCGCGCGAGTCCGGCGGAATAAGAACGGAACGAAACAAAACGAAAAGGAAAAAGGGGGGGAGGGAGGGTTGGGGGAGGAAAAAAAGGAAAAAGCATAAAAGTACGTCGCCGGCGGTGGTCGTGCTCGCGAATATCCGGCGTGAGACTCGAATAGCTGCGCTCTTCCCGCACGAGCGTTTCCTCCCCTTCCCGCCTTCACTCGCTCCATATCCACGAGAACGCGCGCACGTCCGTGCGCACGTGACTATATACGTGCTCGCATGTATCCGTTATGTATACATACGTGCTTGGTGCGAGAGGCGAGAGGACTCGATCCCTCCGGGGAGTTACACGAGAAAGAACGGACGACATGCGGATGGAGAGAGGGAGAGAGAGAGAGAGAGAAGTGCAACGAGGAATATACGAAGTAGGGAAGAAGAAGGTAGAGAGAACGACGTGACACAGCTCGAGGGTTGAGGAAGAGGGTATGAGGGAGAGAGGGGAGGGGGACACTCCGGAGGAAGAGGGACACTGGGACGCTCGTAACGAGTCTCTCCTGGTCCCTCGTCGCAATGAGGCTCTCGGACGACCGGATCGCCATGGGACGAAGGCTCGCCGTGTGCCAACGAAGGTAAGGGGTGTGAGGATCGGTCAGCAGAATGGAGAGAGGTAGTGACTGGCCAGGATGCGAGAGAGCGAGAGGAGACCCGGGCGGATACGATCGGCGAACCGCGCGGCGCGTGATAAATAACCCAGCGGCGGCTCCCGCTCTGTTCCCGTCTCTCGCTTTCGCCTCCTTCCTCTTTCTTCGCTTCGTGTCTACCGCTCAGCTCTCCCTCCACCTCCTCCCACTCCTCCTTTCCGATGGTTCTACGGGTGCGAGCATCGCTTGAGACCGCTTACAGGTCGCGCCAAAAGACGCTTGGCTGCTCTTTGACGCTTGACCGACGCCGACTTCCGCGAGCGAGGAGAATCGACGACTGTACTATACAATGCCTCTTGAGATGAAGAGAGAGAGAGGGGAGGGGGGGAACTATTATTTTCGAGAGAAATATAGGTTTCCTTTTTTTTTTAATTCGCTTCGCCGTGAGCGCTTTTTCGGACTGTCTGACGATGATAGCTATTATAGTCGGGTAATTTGACAAATTTGGTACCTCACCACTGTTTCCGTTGGTTATTTTTATAGCGGCACGATAAAATAAATGTTTTCGATTTTGAATCGCTAAAATTGGTTGTCTATTCGCACGGAGTCATTGAACGTTGCGTAAAAAAAAAAAACGTCCAGTATTTATCTTTTTGCATGGAAGTTAAAAATTTTCCAGCGAATCGCTAACCCCACGTTACCAATTTACATTAAAAAAATATTGTAAACATTAAAATATATATGATCCGTCACAATTTGTAATAACATATAGAAACTTTTTTTCACAATGTCTTTACGAATATAAAGAGTAATTACGGAATCATTGAACGTTATATAAAAAATATCCAATATTTATATAAAAGTCTTTTTATATAAAAGTTCAAATTTTGTAGCAAAGTGCTAAAAGTGATCTCCACCTTGCTCATTTACATAAAAAAAATATTGTAACCGTTAAAATATAAAATCATCACAATTCGAAATAAGCTACAGAAACCTTCACAGTGTCTTCAAAAATGTAGAGAACACCTTTGTGTCTCCACTTAAATGTCTATATACCCAAACCGTTCACAAAATATCTCCGAAAATTCCTACTTCCGAAACTATATCGCGATAAATAATAAATCCCAGACAAAAGCCTGTGCGTTGCCGGTAACAAAAGCCTCGCGTCGTTTCATTACCATCGAATTACGCACGGCGGATATTAATTGACGTTGGATCTTCCATATCTCGCCGGTATCCCGGCGGCTCGATCCCGGCTTCGATTTCCGATCGGTGGAACATACGGACGGAAAAGGCCGGGGCTCTCTCGGCTTGCTCAGCGGTCTCGTCGTCTTTTTGCTAACGGCTGTACTACGGTGCCGTCGCGGCGCGGAATATCCCGACTGCGCGCGGTGTGGCGTGGCGCGGCACCGAGCGGCGCGGCGCGGCGCGGCGCGGTACGACGCGATTCGGCGTGGCTCGGCGCGGCGTGGCTCCCGGCACCGTTTATCGCACGGGCTTGAACTCTTGGAGCGGCGTTCGGCTGGCGCGACGCGGCACGTATCTACCATCGAGCACGGCAGGAACGAGGCTATTACGCGAGCGCGCATACATATCTACCCCGTAGCGAGGAAACGAGGCGATTCCGTGCTGGCGAGAGTGGGTGAGAGAGAAAGAGAGAGAGAGAGAGAGAGAGAGAGAGGCAGGGGGGTAAAGGGAGCGAGAGATGGCGATAGAAAGAGGAAACGAGATGCCGTTAAAGCACGAGGGAGTGAGAGATAGGCAAGAGAGAAAAAGCGAGGCAACACGGGGTGTTGACTCCACCTCCGGACGATTTCGAGCGGTTCGTGCTTCCAGGATCAGCGGAAAGCCTCGCTAACGCGGCGGGATAAAGGCGAGAGTTCCTGGCGAGAGCGGCCGCCCGCTGAAACGAACGAAAAACAGGCGGTATCCATCATTCCCAGCCAGCCAGCCAGCCTGCCTGCCTGGGCGACGGCCACTTTGACGACGACGACGACGACGGCGACGACGACGACGACGACGACAGCGGCGACGACGATGTCAAGAAAGAAGAAGAGGGAGGAGGAGAATCTAAAGGAGGAAAAAGCGATGGCAGTACCGAGATGAGCGCGAAGGCGTGGCGGAAATCACGTCGACGGCTTCATACGACAGGCGTCTTCGAGAGAAAGAGAGACGTTAACCCGCCGTTAAAGGCCATCGTCCCGTTTTTAGGTCCGGAATCCAACTTAAAGTGCGGTTGCGGAGACTTTCTGATAGGAATACAAGTTTGATCTTTGTCGTAGGAATAATTTCGATCTGTTATTCTACTAGTATTACATATCAAAGCGTACATAGCAAAACGATGAGAAAATAAGACGAGAAACGTGAAGAACAATGATTTTAATTATTGCAAGTCAACTGAGTTTCGATGTCTCAATCGCATTGCGATTTAATATCAAAATTATTTTTCAAATATTCGGACTATCGTAGTTGATACTTGAAATTATTTTTCGAACAAGGAAAACAACGTGATAAAAAGAAAGATGAAATCTTCCGAGTTATTTTAGTATGCTGGCCAATTAACTGTATTCCGTTCTACCTTCTCCAGACACGGAGGATCGCTAACCGCAGTTAGTGAACTCGGTAACCGACCCTAAAATTATCCCCGTAATTACGCGAAACTTAGCGATGGTCGTCGTCATCGCCGTGCGTGAGCCGGAGATAGGCGAGCGTTCTCGTCGGCATAATCAAAGGTAACCCGTCGGGAAACTTCATGGACTCCATGACGATCTGCGACGTAAAGGTAAGCGTTGCCAGAGGAGCTTCGAGATCAAATCGAAACTTCTCCGGACTTGGCGAAACGTTGGATCGTCCCGTCCGTTGATCCATCTATCCATCCGTCGTCGTCCGATCCGTTCTAAATGGAACAGAACTCGAATAACGTATTCCACCGTCCGCCCACGTGACGCCACTGAATCCCGGTTGTCGCGCACGTGGGTAACGCCGTTTAGAGTGGCGTGGCACGAGTAATCGAGTTTCGGGGGCTCGCGCGCCGCGATCCGTTTGCCAGCCGGACCGAACCATCCCGACCTACCCCCGACCCTCCAACCCCTTCCGGGACTACCGCTCGCACGCTCTCCCGCAGCATCCCCCGCAGCTTGCCCCCGACGTGACCTCGGTTGAGCGATCAGTCGGCTGATTGGCGGCGCGGCGAAATGAACGAAACGAATACGTAGCATCCCCTTCGTACCTCCGACCTACCCCTGGCCGACCCGCGTGCAGCCCTCGCACGATCAGCGTACACGAATGCGCTAAACTGATCGCACCGTATAGAATGCGCGAGCGGACCTATATTTGCGGTTGTATATCGCCGCCACTTTACAGGATGTTTTCGACGACACGAGCGTGGAAGTGATGTGTGCGTAAAGAGCGATTCAGGAATATCGCGCACTTTCTCGAAATTCCAGGTGTCGGAGGGCGGATTGAGGTGAATAATATTTGCGCCTCGATGTTAAAATAATGATAGTTTTAATCAGACACATTGGGAATTTGTGCAACAGAAAATGGTTTTGGTAAAATATCTAAAAATTTTGCCGAAAAGAATTTTGTTTGGATCATCAAAATAATAATTACGTAGGGATGGTCAAACTGGTTACTGATTTGTCAAAATTTGTTGCAGCATTGCTCATCATACTTGAGTTTTCTACACAAATATTTTGATGGCCCAACAAAATTATTTTTCAGATCTGTATCTAGCTAAATTTTTAGAGATACTTCAAAAAGTTGTTTTAAACGTTAGTTTGTATAAAGTTTCAGTTTGTTTTACAAAGAATGAATTAAAGAAATAAAAAATTTAACAAAATGCGCGCTATTATAAAAGATTATATAATACATACGTAAAGTCTTCTTTTTACAACTAATTGATCTCTCGTTTTTTTTGTCATAATATTTGTTATATTTAGGAAATACTATCGGATAAATTTTATAATAATATATGATTTATGAATTCTCCACTTGAATTAACAATGAATTAAAAGAATGTTTACATGATAAATAACGAGAGAAATGCTTGGGATAAGTTATTTCAGTATCGAGTCAATTAGCAATAATGACTGCTCTATGTTAGTAGTTCTATTACTGACACGATAATGCTAAAGGCAAATATGAAAAATTAAAGGCGTTTTACGATGCGGTACGCAGACTAATTATGATTGCTCATAAAGTGCGGTGATGAAAGGATCGGCGCGATAGGCGTGACTATAAGGACTAGCCTTGTATCCTTAATTGTCGCGTTGGTCCTTCTTTCGAATCTTTCGAAAGTCTAAATTATTTACAAGTCATTCCCTAAAAAAAGATAAAACATAAAAGCACAATGAAAATAATAATCGCCTTAAAATCTGGACTACTTCTAGTATCACAAAGAGCGTAGGATTGAAATAAATGACGTCTTATAAGATACCGGAACAAAATGAACAGAATCAATTCAAACTAATATTTTTATTTGTTGCTAAAAAATTGCCAAAGAAAAAATTTGTTACTCTGCAAGTTTTCTTAAAAAATGATGTTTCGTTAGAAGATTAAGTTAGTAGAACAATATATATATATATATAAAACAGTGAAATTGTACACAACAATACGTAAGAATTTGTTAATTTGTTGCTCATAAAATATACTACATCGTTAAATATCACGAAACAAAGATAACTTAATTTCCTAAATTAGTAACACTTTATTTTTAATATTCATGTGTGTCAAAATGTAAATCAATTCATTTCTGTGGTTGAATTACTTAGTTCAAAATAAATCACATCCATATTGACATAAAAACACTCAGTATAAAAAAAACCTAAATTTGAGATTAAATTTAATATGTTTTTTTAAATTAAATTGTTTATCTCAATTGTTTTAATTAAATTATCGACATTGAGTAGAAACAGTGACGACCTATAAAAAATAGAAATGATTAAAAATCATTTAAATTAGGTATAATTTAACATTATGATTTTAATATTGCAAATCCATGTGTGCAAAAATGACTGTATGTGTATGCTTGGTTTTTCATGTAAAAGTAACACATTATATTGCATACAGAAATGAATTTATACATTTAAATACGTAAAGAATTTTTTCTTAGAGTTTACACTGAAAATATGATAGTCGTGGGACAACATTGCATTTGGAGGATTGAATTTTAATGTAAATCTCATTCATTAATAAAACTACAATAAAATATAAAGTGCATGGTAAAAATCTTTAAAATATTGTATTATACCACAATATTTTCAGGGTAAATTTTTAAAGAAAGTTCTTTCCGCGAACGTATAATATAATCACTTTTGCACTAATCACACACACACACACACACACACACACATATATATTGTAATTATTTTTTATTCACTTGGATTTGCATTGAACAATGTGGTCCCGATGCATCAGTCGTCTCCCTCGTTCGAGTTTTAATATTTTGTGTCTTACCAAACTGTTTCACGGAACGCAATTTGGCAATTTTGGAACGTCCTGTATAGGTGTCGGTACTCAGTTATATCGCGCACGCGGCGGAACGTTTGAACGTGGCGAACGATGGCGGCGAGGGGAGGAGGGGGGGTTTCAGGGCCGTAGCCACGGGGAACGAGGCTAATTCAATGGATGCCTCCGACGCGGCTCGTGCCTCTCTATCTACGTATCCCACACCCTCTCTTTCCTCACCCGCGACTCGACTCGTTGCGCGCACCATCCCCGCTAGCTCGCCGTAATTAATGAACGGCTCGACGCTGCACGGCACAAACAACCCCGGCAGCCGTCACCCCGTCCCCTTTTTCGTTTGCCTGACTTCCAACGTGGACGCGTAAGACGCGACAAAAGCGATACGGATATATACTTGAGAAAAAGGTAGAAATAATCGAAGCGAAATCCACACTCCTATAGATAACGTTAAAAATAAAGAATCTTCTATTTAATTGAGGGAGGTAATAAATATGAATGTTTTATTTTTTTTTTATCTTTTATCTCAAATCGTTTTTCACGCAGCGTGTATTTTACGAGTGTCGCTAAGACTTTTGCGACAACCAGTAGCACAGCCGCATCTGATAACGAGGTGCGTGACATTCTCGAAGCGCGTTGCACAGCCGCGTACATTTCATTCTCGTATACGATACTTGCATAGGACGGCAGCGTGTATTACGTGAACGTGCGAATACGTTTGCTTCTGAGAAGTAGTAAAGGGAAAGGAAGGGAAAGATATTATCGTTGTCATTATCTGGGATTTTTTAAATAAATATTAAAAGGGACAGTTGCGTCTTTTTATTTTATTTAGACTTGGTTTTGGAAACAAGTAATATAAAACAAGAAGCCTCTTTACTAAAGAAGTGTAAGTTGCCTGAAAGCATACGTAAAAAAAAAAAAAAAAAAAAAAACTGGGAAAACACATATTTGCCGTTATAACGAAATGAAAGGAAATTTTGCTCAAATGCAAAAGACTAATTCTAACCATTATCCTGCGTTTTTACGTATAACTTATCATTACTCCGTGTGCGTAAATGCACTCAGATGATTTTACTCTGTACATGGATTCGCCAAATATAAATAAATACTGAGGCATCTATGTACACGTAATGACAAGTTATATGTAAAAAAAAAAAGCCTAGGATAGGAGTTAGAATTAGCCTTTTGCTTTTGAGCAAAATTTCCTGTCGGCATTAAGCTGCTTATTCGGCAAACGGCAAAAAATATTAGTAAAAGGGTAACATTCCTGCAGAATCGTAATGCGAGCGGGAATTGGGATTGCAGAGCGGTGCATCGTGCGCAAATGCAGCGCACGAGCAAGTCTGCGCGATGCGACCGCCGCTCTGCGATGCTCTCGATGCTCTCGAGATGCAACGCGAAAGCCGGCTTCGCGCGCGCGACTTTTCTATCCGAAAATATTAATACGCGCCAGCGGAGCGTCGCATTGATACTCGCCAATGAGAAACGGCAGCATCGATTTTTGTCCTCGTCCCTCGTCCCTCGCTCCTCTCCCTTCGTGTTACGCTGTGTCGCAGTTGCGGATCCGAGGAAGCCAGAAATTCGAGGAACGCGAAATTCGATGCAGAAGCGAAAAATTCTTATCTGAAAATAATAATTACAGGGAAGAATTATATAATAGGACTCCGAAATTTAAGTAACAAATTAATTTGAAGATTTAAACTTTCTAGTGAGGGGTCAATGAAACGATTAACACAATTTATGTAAGATATATACATGATTTGAATTTGGTTCAGTTTGTAGTCATCTTCAGTTTTAAAATGTACGTATTTAGAAAATGACCTTATATTCTTCATTCACGACAAGAACGATCTTGAATCTTCAAGTTGAATTCAAGTGTCAGTCGCAGTAATAATGTACACTGTGTAATTATTACTGATAGCGAGTAATAGCGAAATGATTTCAACTCTTCTATCAATGTATGAGAACTCGGGTATACCTACACACAGAAAAATACATGTTATACGCAAGTAATAATTATTTGTTTTACCTATTTCGAAAATTTATATATCCACAAATCTATCAGATAAGTTCATAAGCATCAAATTTATTCAAAATATATCCTAAGTTAATATACTTCGGTCAAAATTATCAAATGAAAAGAATTCGACTTGCTTGTTATACAAAGTCACTTCGTCGATCAATTTTATAATA